ATCTGATTTTTTTCTCCAGATTATAAAACTCTTGGAAGGAAAGTTGAATCTTTTTCACCCCACAGCACTTAGCAGTGTCTAATATGTAGTAGATAGTCAGTAAATAGACACTGAGTGAATGTTAACTATAGCAGAAGGTATGGTTGTCATTAATGTGTAGGAGGTGATGTAAATAAAGTGTTTAAAATCATCATGAACAAGCAACTGAAGGAAGTCTTGAGTGATGTTTAGTTTCTATTTGATTGTTCTTTCCTGAAATCTAAGTACATTGCTATTCTACTATTCTATTCATAACTTCCAAGGCTTGCCTGGGCCTGTTGCAGAAAATAATGCTACGAGAGGGTTCAAAGCCTCATCAGCTAATGTGTTTCACCAACTCAGAGTGCAGTAGAACAGTATGTCATCCAGGAAGGTGAAATCGTGAAAGAATTATTAAGCACCTGGCACCATTTAATATTGTAAATGCAAACACTAACCATTTGAAAAGGAAAAATTTGAGTGTGTGCTAATGCATATGTTGCCTTTAGTTCTGAAGCAAATTTTATTTCAGCAATATATGAGTAGTTGTCCTGATTTTCAATTTTGTTACTTCTAACATACATTTAAAAAATAATCTTTGCAAAAGTTTTCTAGAAAAGATGAGAATAAATGATGCAGATTTGTCATAATAATCTTTGCTAAGTTTAAGGCATTACTAAGCAATCAAAAGTGTAAAATAAATTTAAAATCTCCTTGCAAATTAGAGTCACTTGGGGAGCTTTTAAAACTCCCGATACCCAGGTTGCATTCCATTCCAATTAAATCAGAATTTCTGGGGGTAGGAGTCAGGCATCAGTATTTTTAAAAGATATTCAGGTGATTCCAAAGAGCAGCAGTTTGGAACTCCTGCAGTTGAGTAAAAGGAATAAATATATCATGGAAGGCTGAAATAAATAAGATACTGTGAAAGTGGAGGATTATTAAGGTCCCAGTTGCACTTTTATTTTCTGGGCATGTAGTAGAAACTTAAATACTTACTGAATTGAATTGAACTAGCCTTATTAAATTGTCTCATTACTAGATATCAAGGTGCTCAGCCATCCATTTCCATAGTCTTTATATTATCATTTCTCATAACTCTTAAGCATCAAAGATATTACACTGGCCAGTGCACCCCCTAATATCTATATTTAATCTCAGCTCATCACTGGTGAAAGTTTTAACAGTTATACCACTCCAGCATGCCAGGAGCCATCCATATCTGTATTCTACTACCACTAGCAATGAGGTTTTTATTCCAGCCAGCAGGTGAGTAACCCTTCTCCAAAATCACATTTTAGAGTCTGCTTCCTTAAAACATTCTGGTATAAACTGTCTTAGAATGGTTCTTTAGAAATAGACTCTGGGATTTGGAGTCGTATGCAGTAAGTTTACTGGGGATTCCTCTTGAGAGACATACTCATAAGGGAGTGAGAAAGAGAGGATTGGGCAGAGGGAGAGGTGGGCAGTGATGCAGTCACAATTGAGGCCTCAGCCGTCTTATGCGGAGCTCCAGAGATGGGATGGCCCTTCAGAGTTGTTGCAAATTAAGGCAAGCGGGCCACGTTTTTGTATCCCCACATTAACCGTGTCTGCAGGCCACCCCTTGGTGGGCAGATAACTTACCTTGAGGTAGTTTGTGAGAGCAATTCCCAATGAGAGATACAGCTATGAGCTGTATCATCACCATCTGATCATACCAGCAGTTGGGGGATGATTGTGTTGCCCTCGAAGAAGGGAACTGGTTGAAGGACCTCAGTATCTGTTACAATATTCAAAATGGCTTATCTTTGGCCAATGGGAGCTCTTCATGTAGGCTCTTGTGTCTTTTTTTTTTTTTTTTTTTGGTGAGGAAGATTGTCCCTGAGCTAACATCTGTGCCAGTCTTCCTCTATTTTCTATGTGGGTCACCACTACAACATGGCTTGATGAGCTCTGTGTAGGTCTGTGCCTGGAATCTGAACCTGTGAATCCCAGGGCCGTCGAAGTGGAGTGCGTAAGCTTAACCACTATGCCCCTGGGCCAGCCCTGGCTCTTGTGTCTTTTGACATGACCCATTGGCTTTGTATAGCTTCCTTGCTTTCTGGTATAATTCATTCCAGTCTCATCTAATGTATTACCTGAACTAGAACTGGAATCAGCCATTTCTCCAAGGATTGTTTTTTTTAAGTGGGAAATGGTATTTAGAGATCACAAAATGAGTGTTAGGATTGTTTATTGACTCTAGGCCTTTTCAGTGGACAGAACTAAAATATGTATTTTTGAGAAGAAAAAAATCACAAGTTCATATTAATATTGCCACTTCAACTTTAACATTATAGAATTTTTACTTAATTTCTTTGATTTTACACTTTTATCTCTTTTTTCTTACATTGGACATTTTAGTACATAACAATGTTAAAGTAAATATTTGCATTACCCTATTCTATTTCCTCTCTCTCTGTATATATATATGATAGTTTCAAAATAGTAGTACTAATATTACTGTAAACAATTAGGACACAGAATGACTTCTAAAAAATATGTCCTTGCAGCTCTCTCTAGAATATATCCCAATGTGTTCCAGAGTCACTTGGATTTTGTGAAAGCACTCTGCTTGATCTTTATCCTATTCAGCTTGTTTAGTCATTACTTGTAGCAGGACACATTCTTGTCAAATTTACAGATAACAGGTAGCCAAAAAGATAAGAGAATTTATTGGAGGGCAAAATCAGAGTCACAAATAATCTCGATTCCCTATAGTGATGGTCTAAATTTAACACAATGAAATATGACAGGTATAGCTGCAATATGTAGTTGTTTTATATGCCACTTAATCCACAAAACATTAGAAAAAACATAATAAAATGATAAATATAAACTTATATTTATTAATAAGACAAACTACCACTTTTTGAGCACTTACTATATGCGAGGCACTCTACTAAATGCTTCATATAATTTAATGTTGACAAATACCTCATGAGACAATAGTAGTAGTATGGTAATTGTCCTAGTAGTAGTAATATCTAACATTTACAGAGCATTTACTGAGTACCATGTGCTATTTCATACATTTTACACTTAACTCTCATAACAACCCTACAAAGTAGGTACTGTTGTTATTTCTTTTAAATTGAGGCACAGAGAATTTAAATAACTTGCTAAGGCCACACAGTAAATTGAGGTAGGATTTAAATCTGGCAGTCTGATTCCAAGGCCTTAGGTACTCTTCTTACCCCCTTTTTACAGATGAGATTTTGAAGATTAGAGAAGTTGAGAAACTTCCCCAAGTTTCTAGAAAGCTAAGGACTGGGATTCAATCCCACAACACTTGACTTTATAGCTGATTTCTTAACTACTCTGCTGTACAGCTTTCCTGTAATAACTACCAGGCAGGCTCCAGCCAGGTGCTTTAATACACTATTGATTGTAATTCAGAGCAAGGGAGGTGACAGTCCCACTCTACTCTGTAATGGCAGAGCACACCTGGAGCATTGTGTGTGATTCTGGGCTCCACACTTTAAAAAAGGATCACTGACCTACCTGGAACTCATCCAGAGGTGAGTGCCGAGCACGGTGAAGTGTCTGAGTATCATGTCTATAGGAAGAACTGTTAAAAAGCTGAGAATAGTTAGCACTCCAAAAGAGAAGACTCAGAGGAGGCTGAATGCTGGTATTTGAAGTGTCTTCATGTGGTGGAGGGTTAGATACAATCTGCGTAGTTCCGGAGGGAAAAACTAGGCTGCACATAGAATCAAAGAGGTGCATTTGGCTCCTCATGGGGAAGAAGGACTGCCTGGTATTCGGAGCATTTTAGAAATGAAATGGGCTTTCTTGTAAGAGAATGAATTCTTTTTCGTGCTGAAGAAACTGACTGACCACTTACCGTGGATTTAAAGACTTATATCAAGTGTAGTGGTTCTTAAATTTTAGTGGGTATAAGAATCACCTGGGGAAACTTGTTAAATACTGATTCCCAGGCCTCACCTTTAGAAGTGCTAATTCAGTAGATCTGGGATAAGGTCCAAGAATCTGCATTTTTAACAAGCAGCCCAGTGGGTCCAAGTGAGGTGGTCGGTGACCCACACTTGGAGAACCAGTGAGACTAGATAAGCTCTGAGATCTCTTCTGCTTATTTTACCAATAAACATTCTAGTAAAAACTGTGTGTAGTTAATGTAATGATTGTTCAAAGAAAGTTGTCTTAAGTTTTATAAAAGATCCACAACAAAATTCTTTAATACGTTGACAGTCACAATTAGGATAAAGTTATTGGAAGGTAGGATATTAGCATACGGAAGGAGAAGGCTTGATTCTCAATCTATATCATAAAAGATAAGACTTTAATAGCAAAATAGAAGATAAATCCAGTTTGAACATCTTTAACCACTTTAAATAAAGAACTCACTCTACATTTGCTAAGGAGCAATCTGATGGGGACCTGGAAAAAGCTATCTGATTATCCTAAAAGACACACCTGTGTAAGGTTAAGCACCTCTCAGGCTTTGGGGCCCAGGCTTATATAAACTTCAGCCTAAAACTAACAGAACAGGTGTGGGTCAGAGTGTCTTCTAACTCTGGCTCGCTTTTTGGTGAGGCTGAAGAGCTTTTGCTGGTAAGGATAATATATGTTTGATTAACCTTAACTTTTACTTCAAGTGTGCAACCTGAGTCACATTTTAGAACTACTGTATCCTGAAATGTTTTTGCTTTCCGTAAATGTTTTTAAAAAGTAGTGCTTGGTGTGATTTATTGCCCCATATTAGGACTTTTTTTTTTACTTAAGTTGCATAATCATGTCTCATTTGTTTCTTAAGTGTATTAAAGTTTTAAAAAGATTTTTTTCTTTTGATGTACTTATTTAGTTCATTAAAGACTAGCAAGTGATTTCTGTTTTAAATTTAAGGTATATAAAATTTCCAAATGGCAATTACATGTTGATAAGTTAGATCCTTGTTTCTCTTTAATTTCTTCTTGTTTCCTTTTAATGTTTGCAGACTTTCTGTAAGTTTTTCTCGAATCATGAGGGATGAAATTGCAACAACGGTTTTCTTTGTCACAAGATTGGTGAAAAAGCATGATAAATTGAGTAAACAGCAAATAGAAGACTTTGCAGAAAAGCTAATTACAATCTTGTTTGAAACATACAGAAGTCACTGGCACTCAGATTGCCCTTCTAAGGGGCAAGCCTTCAGGTGAGAGTTAGTGTGTGGTATGGCAAAGGGAAGCAACAAGCAAGCTATAACCATCGGCAATGATTTTGTTGGCAGTCTGTAAGTCACAAAAGTTTTATGGGCTCAAATTTATTTGTTTGAATGTGGGCTTGAAAGAAAGAGATGCAGTAGGTGACAGCATAGCTGAAAATTATAGAGAAAACCCCCTTATGTGAGGTGGGTTAAACAATTTCTAACTTATGTTTACCATGAAAGATATGCAGTGAACATTCGATGAACTAATTGTGTGATATAGTGATGCAACCCACATTCTGACTCACGGTGTAAAAGTTGATGATGCTTACCCTTGTAAAACCGTGGAGGGTGGGGAAGGGGTCGGGGAAGGTGGGAGTGAGGTGGTAGCTGCGTGTATTGGGGCAATTGGCCTACAATATCATTCTCCTGCTAAAGCACCTGTCACCGCGTCTTTGTTTCCCTTTCGTTGTTTTTTTAAGGTGTATCAGGATAAACAATACTCAAAATAAAGATCCCATTCTAGAAAGGGCTTGTGCTGAAAGTAATGTGGATTTTTCTCACCTGGGACTTCCAAAGGAGATGACCATATGGGTAGATCCCTTTGAAGTGTGCTGTAGGTGAGTAATTTCATTGGAGTTAGTCTGTGTGTTCTGTGACCCCTGGAAACCTTAGATTATTCAGTCAGCTCTATACACCTTTGTGAAAGATGATGCTCTAAAGCCTTAGGTTAGCAGTGAGGGCACTGGTTGGTTAAGATTTTATTTTTTTTAATTAATTTTTTTTGTCAGGAAGATCAGCCCTGAGCTAACATCCATGCCAATCCTCCTCCTTTTGCTGAGGAAGACTGGCCCTGGGCTAACATCTGTGCCTATCTTCCTCCACTTTATATGGGACACCGCCGCAGCATGGCCTGACAAGTGGTGCCACGGTGCGAGCCCGGGATCCGCACCCGGGCCGCCAACAGCAGAGTGTGCACACTTAACTGCTACGCCACAGGGCCGGCCCCAAGATTTTAGATGCAAACTTTATTAGATAACACAGACTTCCATTAGGAGTGGATGGAGTGGGATGCACAAAGATTTTGCATAGTATTTGAAATTTGACTTTAATCACTGCACCCTATTGCCAACCATAGATTATAATGTCTTGAGTATTATAGGCAGTATCAAGGGGGAAGAGGAATTATCTACTATCGGGCAATTCAGAGTCCATTAGCTGAAACTAAAGAAACTAGTCTTTGTCTTTTTCTGAGCAATTAACCAAGATAGCTCTTACAGAACACCCCCACAAATTACAACAGTGTAGCAGCTGAATATCATAATATCTCTCGGTTTGCTTTGCTGTTAAGCCGTTTCAATCTGTTTTTTTAAAAGAACTCTTTTTGTGAGTTGTCTCTAGAGAAGATTAGAGATAAAATGTGTGAGAAGTTGAATCCCTAGTGAATATTTTATTTTCCTTTCCTACTTAGGTATGGTGAGAAAAATCATCCATTTACAGTTGCTTCTTTTAAAGACAGATGGGAGGAATGGGAACTCTCCCAACAAATCAGTTATGCTGTGAATAGAGCCTCGTTAGACGACTACTCGGGCAATTTCTCCGATGAAGAAGGTTGTAACCAAGAACCTCAGATTATTCCTAAAGTCAACAATCCAAAGAGTATTTATCAGGTAAAGTGTGTTCCAGTTCTTCTCTCTGTATATTTTTCCTATTCTAATTCTAAAAAGAATATGCTTACTGTAAAAGCAGAGAAACAATTGGAAAACATGGAAAAACATAGAAAAAACAAAAGTTTATAGTTTTAAGCTTTATAGGTTAAAATTACAATATTAATATTCTGGAAAAACTTTTTCTGTTTTTTTTCCTTCTTTATGTAGTCCCTCTAGTTGGCTGAGTGCTTAGGATCTACACAGTCTTTTGTAGTCCTGTTTCTCCATACAGTATTTGAACATACATAAGTTTCCTTTCACCTAAATTGCTTCAGAATTAAATATTAAAATTGGTGGGCTTTTTTGCCAATAGAAAATAACATTCCACTCGTAGTATTAAGAAATGGTCAAAGGTCTGTACTCCCACCAGCAGAGCAGTTAAAAAAAATTTTTTTTTAATATTCTTTTGTTTCTCTTGTAATTTACCTAGTTAATCTATTATTGGCATTCATCTACATTGTTTCCACATTGTTGTGATATAACAATCTGATAATTTTTATAGAGATGTCTGAATTACGTTATTTTTGGAGATCTGATTCTCAGACATGGAATTACTGGGTCATTGGGTATGGACATTTGACTGTTCTTAATAGATGGCCAGAATACCTTCTAGAAAGTTGTATTTATTTGTAGTCTAATCAGCTCTATGTGAGAGTGTCTGTTTTATCATTTTCCCTAAAATGGGGTATTCTCATTTAAAAATAATTTCCTAAGTGGGGCTGGCCCAGTGGCGCAGTGGTTAAGTGCCCGTGCCTCACTTTGGTGGCCCAGGGTTCCCATGCGCACTGACCACTGCTTGTCAAGCCATGCTGTGGCGGTGGCCCATATAAAGTAGAGGAAGATGGGCATGGATGTTAGCCCAGGGCCAATCTTCCTCAGCAAAAAAAAAAGACGAGGATTGGCATCAGATGTTAGCTCAGGGCTGGTCTTCCTCACACACACACACACACACACACACACACACACACACAAACACACACACAAAAAAATTGCCTAAAAATGCTATCTGTTAGATATCATTAATTTACGTAAACATTCAAAAAACAATATCCATGTGCCCAAATGTTTTGGGTACTTATTGTCTTATGAATTTTCTCTTCTTCACTCATTTATCATTTGAGGTCCCAATGTATTACTATTATTATAGGCTCTTCAAAGGTTAGGAATATTTTAACCCCTTGTCATATTATTGGCCAATATTTTTCTCTCTAGTTTGTTTAGTTTTCTAAACTATATAGATTTATATATAGTCCTATATGTATAAAAAGTTAAAATTATGTAGTGAAATATTTGCCCTTAATTCTATTTTTATGCTTAGGAAGATCTTCCATCTAGGGATCAGATCTATAGTCAGCTATATATTCTCTTAGAGTGATGTCCTTGCAGAGTGTGGACTGCAAAACATATGTATAGGTCATCTGAGATGTTTAACAATGGATATTTCTAGCCCTTGGCTCTAGAGATCATGATGAGATAGTTGTGGGTTGGGCCAGTGAGGTAGTGGTGGGGTAGAGGAGAACCCAAGAATACACACAAATTTGAATAAATGTGTTTTTAAGTAGTTTAGTTGGATTAAAGAATTAGTTTTGTTACAAGATGTGACTTATTTTATACCCCCCAAACACTAGCCAATTTTCCAAAGATAATTATCTACTTTGATTTCTATTCATTGTACTTCATATGCTTTTGAAAAGCTTAACTTCTGAGTTATGGGTTTGTATTTAGTCCTTAGAACTAGTTTATTAGTTTACAAAAGATCTTCATGCCCTTTCTTTTTCCTTTTCTCCCCCCAGGTTGAGAATTTGAAACGGCCCTTTCAATCTTGGTTCCAAATCCCCCGCAAAAAGAATATGGTGGATGCCCGTATGGGCCTCCTAGGAAATGCTTATCATGCTTTGCATAAGAACCCTAAGGGTCATAGGCCTGCTATACACCGAGTGGACAGGTACCACTGGGTCAACACAAACCGATAATTCAGGGGCTGAGCATTCAGTGGGATAGAGCTCAGAGGAGCCACTTTATTTTCTCTAAAATGAAAATGAGCCTAAGGTTGAGAGGCCCATGAAACTGAAAAAATAACCACATTAGGGACTAGGCTGCATGCTGGTGAATCTTCTCACACAGATCACGTCTATGTTCTTAGCTGTAATTTAATTCTTTAATTTTATATGAAGTTTTATGTAATGAATGTACCCAATGAGATAATAGAATGAAGATATTGACGTGTGATAAGATTCAATGAATTATGAAAAGTAACAGTTTAAATAAATGTATTGTGTTTTTAGTACCTTCCTAGTTCAGTTCGTTGCAAGAAAGTTTTGAAAGTTTGTGTTTCTTCATTAGCCACTAAAAAAAGAAAAAGTAGACCTTCATTTAGGGAAGCTGATCCTCATGATATAGTAAGCTGGTTCTACTTTATTACCTGCCATCCCTGTTCTATTTCGCAAGGCCATTAAGAGCTTGTTTTAAAATTATTTTTTAAGACATACAATTCCCTTGTTTGTGTATCTTTTTAAACATTTTAAATTTCAAAATAAAAAAACCACACTGATTTTTATGTCTAGTTGTTCTATAAATTGTTGAAAGGGAGGTGTTATGAAGTCTCCAAATATAATTGTGATTTATCTATTTCTCCTTTCAGTTCTATGAGTTTTTGTTTTACATACGGTGCAGCCCTGTTGTATATACGCATTTAGGACTGCTATGTCTTCTTGGTAGATTTCCCCTTTAATCATTCTATAATGTCCCTCTCTGTCTCTGGTAACTTACTTTGCCCTGATGTTGCCTTATCTGATATTAACATAGCCACTCCTGCTTTCTTTTGACTAATGTGTGCATGGTATATCTTCTCCCATCCTTGGGAGAAGGATTACAACCTGCTTGTAATTTTATATTTGAAGTCAGTTCCTTGTAGACAGTATATAGTTGAGTCATATTTTCTGCTGATTTCTGTCTTTTAATTGGTGTATTTAGACTGTTTACATTTATTGTAATTATAGATATGTTAGGTCTTAAGTCTGCCCTTATTTTTTGTTTGGTTTGTTCTATTTTTCATTTGTTTTCCTTGCCTTCCTGTGGGTTACTTGAACATTTTTAGAATTCTATTTGGCATCTTCATAGTGTTTTCCAGTGTATCTCTTTGTATAGATTTTTTAGTGGTTGCTTTAGGTATTGCATTATATGTACATAACTTGTTGTGGTCTACCAGTGTGGTCATTTTATCAGTTCAAGTGAAGTGTAGAAACCTGAATCTTGGGCAGGCCCCGTGGCTTAGCGGTTAAGTGCGCGCGATCCGCTGCTGGCGACCTGGCTACGGATCCCGGGTGCGCACCGACGTGCCGCTTCTCTGGCCACGCTGAGGCCGCATCCCACGTACAGCAACTAGAAGGATGTGCAGCTATGACATACAACTATCTACTGGGGCTTTGGGGGAAAAGAAAAATAAATTAAAAAAAAAAGGAAACCTGAATCTTCATGTCTCATTATCTTTTTCCATTTATAATATTTGTATTAAATATTTCCTCTACATACATTTAGAGCCACATCAGATAGTGTTATAATTTTAAGTTCAACTGTCAAACATAATTTAGAAAACTGAAGAAGAGAAGGAAAGTCTATTGTATTTATCCTCATTTTTACTTATCATATTCTTCCTTCCTGGTGTTCCAAGCTTCTTTCTTTTAGAGAATTTCCTTTAGCCTTTCTTTTAGGGTAGGTTGGCTTGTGACATATTCTTAGTTTTTCTTCATCTGTGAATGTAGTGACTCTTCTCTTCATTCCTGAAGAATATTTTCACTGGACATAGAATTCTGGATTGATGGTTCCTTTCTTTCAGTGCTAGAAAAATGTGCCACTTCTTTCTGGCTTCTATGGTTTCTAAGGAGAAATCTGCTGTCAATTAAATTTTTTTTCCTCTATAGGTATGCTGTCATTTTTCTCTGGCTGCTTTCAAGATTTTTTCTTTCCTTTTGGTTGTCAGAAGTCTAATTATGATGTGTCTTGGTGTGGATTTCTTTGGGTTTATCCTATTTGAGATTCACTCAGCTCCTCGAATCTGTAGTTTTATGTCTCTTTCCAAATTTGAGGAGTTTTCAGCCATCATTTCTTTCAGTTCTTTTTAGCCTGCCCTCTTTCTCTCCTCCTCCTGAGACTTTGAATGCTAGATCACTTGTTATAGTCATAGGTCCCTGGGGCACTATACATTCATTTGTTCAGTCTTTTTTCTCTCTCTTGTTCAGATTGGGTAATTTGTGTTGTTCTATCTAAATATCCACTGCCTTTTGTTTTCCCCTCTATCTCTTCCATTTGACTGTTGAGCCTATCCAGTGAGCTTTTTATTTTATTTTTTTTATTTTTCAGTTCTAAAATTTCCATTTGATTCTTCTTTGTCTTCTAGCTCTTTGCTGTGACTTTATAGTTCCTTGCTGAGGCTATTTTCTCATTTGTTTCAAGCATGTTCATAATTGCTTGTTGAAGAATTTTTATGATGGCACCTTTAAAATCTTTGTCATAATTCTAACATCTTTGTCATCTTGGTGTTGGCATGTGTTTTTTTTACTCAGTTTTATATCTTTCTGGTTCTTAATATAAGTGATTTTTGACTGAAATCTGTACATTTTTGATATTAAGACAGAGTCTTATTTAAACTTTGTTTTAGCTGATTTCCTCTGATACTATTCTAGTGGAGAGGGGAACAGAGGGTGCTGCCTTGTTACTGCCTTGTGGGAGATAAGAGTCTAGGTTCCTCACTGGCCTCCACTGATACCCAAGGAAGGGGTTCCTCATAACTGCTGGGATGGTATGGGAGTTCCAGCTCCCTATATGGTTTCCACTAATACTTTAGTGGGGGTGGCCTCATTACTGATGGGCAGTGGTGAAAGTTCTGACCCTCTACTTGGCCTCCAGTGATGCCACTCCAGCAGGGAGGTGGTAGTGAGGGGACTCATTACTGCCATATGTTGGTTGATGTCCAATTCCCCATGTGGTCTCCACTAACATCATGGGGAGGGGGCTTTGTTACTGCCCTATGGGGATGAAAAGATGAAAATTCCCAGCTCTCTGCTTGGTGTTCTCTGACACCACCCAAGAAGGAGGTTGGGGTGCTTTGTTGCAGCCTAGCAAGGGTAGAAGTCTAGACTCCCCACTCAACTTTTGCTGGTGTGGGTGGAGCCAGTTTTTTTTCTGTGATGTTTGGCTGGAGTAAAGCAGTTATTGTCTAAAAATTTTCTGTCTTGCTAGGCTGCCCCTTTCCTAGTCCTTTGGCTAGAGAGAGCAGTCTTTTGGGGAGCTTTATTGGTCTGTGCCCATTCGTGTTTATGGGTTGCTGGCTTGTTTATTTCCAAGTCTGGAATACATGAGGGGAAAAAGAGAATCTGTGGAGTTCCCGACCATATCCTGCCTTGGGTTCTGAGGTCCCTAGCTGGTCTATTTTCTTCTCTACACCTTGAAGAATCTTCTTATTTGTTTTTTATATATAATGTCCAGGGACTTTAGTTGTACTTGGTGGGACGAGTAGGGAAAAGTATCCTACTTCATCTTCCTGGAAGCAGAAGTCTATGTACCACTTTTGAAATTAAAAAATAATTCTTAAAACAATTAAGGTCCTCTCTGTTAACAGTTGGTAAAATATGGCTTCTATAGCTATTGAAGTTTTCTTATCCTTTTTCTCGTCAGTAGGCTGTGCATGTGTGTGTATATGTGTGCACACAAGCTAATTCCTTAAAGATAACTAGAATCTCAAAACTTTTAAAAGAAACTTGCTATTGATTTGATTCAGCAATAAATATACATAATGTAGCAGGAAGGAGAACATGATTCCTGCCTTGTAATCTGTGGCATTGCCATTAAAAAGCACGTGCTTACTAAAAGCCTGCAGCTGTTAGTGTATTAATGGAATCAGATGGAGGGCCCACGAAGTCAGCCAGGAAGTTAATAGGATCATGTTTTGGTAGGTGCCTTGCTCAGCCAAGAATGAGAACTATAAAAGAAAGATGTTTAATTTCTGGATGGCTTTTTCTTTGCCATCTCTCACAGAGGCCCTGGACATTTGGCTTAACTATCCTAAGTGGTCTTCTGTGTCTGGTTTAATTAATCTTCACTGTGCTCTCTGGGAAATACATTTCATAATTATGTGAGTAGCTAAATAACATTCTTCAGGACACACACTCAATATTTATCATATCAAACTATTATTTACCTTCTCAAAGTACTGGGGAAGTCTTTAATTTTATAAAGTTACTATGCATTGATTTGGGGGGGTGTACTTTGTTTAAGAATTCCCAGTTCATGGAAGAGACAGGAGAACAGCTGCCTCATAGTCCATTCTGATGGGCAACTTCCATTTTATTGGTATCTGTGCTATGAAGGCAGCAGGTGATTTTAATTGATAGTAACTAATGAAACAGTTTTAAGGCTGACAGATTTGGTACTTATTTTGCCTGATGGCTAATCTAATGATTTAAATTGAATGATACTTAAGATAAGTGAACAACCTCTAGCAGCAAAGATATGAGAACTCAATGTCAGTGTAAGATGGGAGAAATGGAGGAGTTTGATGTAGTGAGTTGATTCTGAGCAGATCTTCTTTATGGCTGATTTAAAGCTTTTTGTTAAACCTTAATTGTAAATCTTCTTGTCATGTTGTCTCAGTGTTTTTTATTTTCCCTAAAGTTATTTACCATTAGTATTTTGGTTGGATTTAGAGTTAAATCCTCAGCATGTATGGGCATCTCTTAATTATGATGAAAGACTTTCAGTACTAAAAAATGTTAAATATGTGATAGATACTGAATTCATTAATTATCATTCATTATCTACCTACATAGTGTTTGTTTAAAGTTTTTTTTTACTAGCCTGCTTGCCTTCCATTGCTTGAGAGACTCAATAACAACTGTTACATTAAAAAATCCCCTCTGCTACTCATCTTGGAACACAATAAAGAGAACTATCCATGTGAGAAGCAGCTTGAATTGCT